AACAATGACAGCTGGGGCGCGTCAGGGGGTGGTGGCACATGCCTTTAATCCCAGCACTAGGGAGGCAGAGGCAGTTGAATCTTTGTGAGTTCCAGAGCAGCCTGGTCTACAAGAGCTAGTTCCAGGATAGCCTCCAAAGCCACAGAGAAACCCTGTCTCGAAAAACAAAATCAAACCCAAATAACAACAAAAAAGACAGCTGGGGTGAGACATATAAATTCACTTAGGCTAAAAGTAGCTGAAGCCAGAGTAGTTGAATCACCAAGAGAGCCATACTGTTGACATCCAGGACAGAAGCCTATGAAATTTAACATTTAAAGGTCAGCTGGAGAAGGCAACTAGTGCTATAAAATGGGACTCTCTCTCAAAAAGAGAGAAAAGGGAAGGAGAGAGGAAGGAGTGGAGGGGAGAGACACACAGAGGAGAGATGGAAGGAAGAGGGACAGGGAGCAGCCATGGAGGTTAGGGTCAGCAGGAGACTATGAGGGGATGGCCGGGAAGACCAGAGGAAAGCCACAACTGGTCAGAAGCCACTGGTCATTTCGTGAATTAAGTGACAGGTATGGCCAACTTCACTGGCTGTGGCAGCCAGGTCAAGAAAAGTTTAACTCCTCCTTTACACTGAGCCATGTTTTTAGCAGCTGTGGCAGAACTCTTATCAATTTTAGAAAGAAGCATGGAAACTGTATTTACTGGGGAATAAATTCAGGACACAGGAAAGCCTTCGTCAGGCTAATCTGTCAGCCTCCTAAAAATTCTTCACTATGAATACAAAGATCAGAAAGGTGTCAGCCCCAGATGAAGACAGTTTCCAAACAGTAAAGAGTGTGGGTGATACTGAGATGTGGTGGGATCACAATGGACAGTTAGTGGTATAGGCAAGAGCTGGTCAGCAGATTGCTATCAGTTTGATACACAATACAACTAGTGACATAGAGAACTGTCTTTTGATTGGTAGAGGACCCTTTCTGTTTGTAGTGGCAAGAAAGAAAGTAACGACTACAGGTGAGGTGAAAGTCATGCTGCAAACACACTGGGATACGACTCCAAGGAAACAACTCTATGGCACCTTTGCTCTTGGACATCCACCCAACAGAACTCGGGAATACACATTTTGAAAAGACTTCTGAGCTGGGCAGAGGCACATCTTGGGCTAATTAGCTAAGCTTTCTGTGACCAGCTCAGAATGGGACATGCATATTTGAAGGACCAGATAATATTTAGAATAGTGCTTAAAACTTTCTCAAATAGGAAAATGAGCTGTGACAAGTGTATTATGTCTCAGGAATGTAAATCTCAATTGTTTAGATTCTCAAAATTTTAATTCTGGAATCTGTCAGATTGTAAGCCAGAGTCCCCAAAGACAACAGCAAACTGAGTTACTGTGGCTGTGGCTCCTATGAAGACTGCTGGGAACATCCTGTCTATATTTTACCGTCACTGGACTTTTTTCTTTTCTTCTTTCCCTATATATCTCTGAACATGACCTGAGTCTCATACAAATTCTGACATTCTCTTCCAGAAGTCGCTATCAGGCCCCAGGTTTAAGAACTCAGTCCTGCATGCCTGGCACTTCAAACCCCGAAGCACAAGTTAGGCCCCTGTTCCTTCTCTGATCCAGTTATGAACAGGACTCTCACCCGCCACCTTCAGTGTTAATAGTGTGCTTACAGAACTCAGGATTCAAACTCAAAAGGATAGAAGACAGAAATAGGCAGATGGAAGAGATGTACAGGGCAAGGTACGGGGATGGAAAGCAGCCTTCCATGCCCTCTGTAATTTCATCCTAAAAGCCCCTTCATGCATTCACAAACTGAAACTCATCACATCTTTAAAGAGCTTGATGGAGTTTTATCTCTAGCCCACTTCTCTCCACTTCTCAGGTGAAACTTCCCCAAAGACCAGTTGTAATCCTGGTACTTATCTGGGCTTCCTGGTAAGAATCCCAATGTCAAGGCCATCTAGGAAACCCCGCCTAACTTACCTCATGTGTCTGATCAAAAGGATCTGTGATGGGAAAGTAAAAACTCACACAACAAACTATGAAACCACAATGTCCCACAACAGTTAAGGCAGCAGCTGTTTATTTTCAGTGACTGTCACACAGTGTTGTTACAGGGTGGAATCACATTGTGATGTAATCTTCTTGGGAGAGGTTTTCTAAGGTAGGATTTGGAGCCTTCCACACTTATCAGATGCTTTCTCATCAGTTTTCTCCAGTTTTGCAATTCTAGATCCAAACTGCATGGCCCGCTTCGGCAGGAGGGCTGAGGCTGTGAGGCCAAGTTCAACAGCTGCAAGGCGTAAAATGAGCTTCTCACCAACCCCTCGTGGCAAAGACAGGTCCACCTTCTCCCAGACTGGCAGGGAGTTTAGGAAAGACACAACATTCTCATCCAGGAAAGGAAACCTAAATTCATTAAAAAATTGATAGTGATTACTATTAAAAAGTTGTCTATTAACCCACAGAAACAGCTGACCTGAACATCGGGGAGCTCTTGGTTCCCATACTGATGGCTGGGATACCAGCATGGGACTGATCCAGACCCCAGGAACATGGGTTTCAGTGAGGAAACCTCGGAAATCTACGGGACCTCCTGTAGTAGTTCAGTACTTATCCCTAGCATAGGCAGTTTCATGTATGCTTTTAAATCTTGGGCTTATTTTACCTACAACATACTCATGATGATAATAAAGACATACTGAAATACACAGTTTTAAACATTAAGGATAAAGGAAGATAGGATGGTCTCTGTGAAGATTTTAGACAATCTACCATAGTACCCAGGACTGGGACCTCCATAGATCAGCACAGGGGACATGCCTACATAGACAAAACCAGATTCTACAACATTGGAGGACAAAGTCAGAGTGGCTTTGTGGGGCAAAACAAAACCCTTAAACTACCTCCACTTGGAAATACACTATCCTGTTTTCACTTCTATAGTTTTCATTATGGCCCTAAGAAGAATTATTCGGTCGCCTTAGACCACGAGTGCAGAGGTACTTATTACTGCTCCAGGGCACCTTCAGCTTTGCTCTTGATGTGTTCATAATGGAAAGCTGAGGCAGTATGTCAGTGCTCCTGCTTTGCATGGGGCCAATCTCCAAGGAAAAGGAATGGTAAGTCTCCTTTTGTGTTTCTACTAAAAAGCATTCAAGTAAGGTGTTACCTGGCTTCCTTTCCATGATCACCAATAACTCTGTCATCACGACTGAGGTTCCTGGAAGAGATGCGACCCAGTTCCATTGCAATTTCCTCATTCAGACCTTCCAGACCAAGAGACTGGAAGCGAACACGATGACGGGAGTAACCAGCCAGCTGCTCATCGGCACCGATCCCAGTGAGAATCACCTGCAGATGATTAAAGAAAGCCAAGACACAACAAAGAGTTCTATTTTTCTTATAAAATAAATCCTAAAAAGTTATAGTCTTAACATTTTAGAAAAAAAAAATCCACAAGTCAGAAAATAATAAAAAAAACATGTTCAATTTTAAAGAAGTAATATACACTGTATTATATAGTACATTATCACAACCTTAAATGATAAAAGGTTCAACAGTCAAAATTAGGTCTCAGAAATTCCTCTGAACAAAAACCCCGGTGCATACCTTTGCACTGCTCTTGTAAGATCTCACAGCATCCTGGGTCACTAACCAACCGACTCCTCTAGACGCAAACCAGACAGCACAGCCAATGCTATCATCCAGAACTGTGTCCAAGGGCTGAACTAAGTGGCATATTCGAGCTCTTCTTAGTTTTTGTAGTTCTTCAAGAGAAACATTAATTTCAACAAAATTCCAAGTTCGAGAAGGGTTGATTGACTGTAGTTCCTTTAGTCCTGCTTTTCCTGTGACTCGGTCTGGCACCTCCACATCATCAAGACCCTGGGCCACAGTAGCACCCCAAGAGGACTCTTCGGAAGGGATCTCATGATGGGTTTGCCGTTTTCTTTCTACCTTAGTAACACTCGGCCCAGTCTTCCGTTTAGTCACAAAAGCCACATTCAGAAGATCAATGGGCTCATCTAAAGGAATATGACGATCAGCAAGAGCTGCGATCACCATGGAATCAACACCTCCAGAAAAGAGGATTGCAATGTTTGCTGTTTTATTCCAAGTTTTCAAAACTTCCTTTGATACTGGGTTTTCCTTTCTAACTAAACATAAGACACGTCTCTTGACTGCAACACTCAGGACGTCAATAAACTGATGAACTACTTTTTTTGTGTGTTCATCTGTAAGAAACATCGCAAGGGTCTCTCTTGAATGGGGAACGCCGGAACTGTTTCTACAGTGAGTTTCCAATGGAGCTTGAGGCAGCATCTTATTTAAGGGAACGACAGGTTTTGAAAGGTACAGCTTGTCTTCATTTGCTACCACTGATACAAACGCTGGCAATTCTGCTGCAGTGTGAGGCAGGTCATTAGAACATTTTTCAATAAAATTCTCCTTAGAAACGTATTTCCAAGGATATAATTTTATAGACACATGTCTGGAAACAGCAGAGGAATTGAGATCAATTTGGAAAATTCCAGATGCTGGAACTTCTTGCCACTTGTCTGCAAGCCCAGATATCTGGTCACCAACTGAAGAGAGGAAGAAACTATTGCCCAGATTATTAAAACGCCAAAGCAAGCTACGCCGGCCAAAAAAGTCCCTACCAAACCATAAGTAATGGCTAGAGGCTTGATAATATATAAAAGACCATGGACCTTGGACTCTAGAGAAGAGCGACAAAATATCAGATTCATTCTTACAGGCAGAAAGGCTACTGAACATAACTTGAGTGTCACTGTCTTCTGCTTCAACCTGCACTCCATCAAAAACTTCTCCATTCCATAAGAACACATTGCCACTTTCATCTTCCACAGGCTGGGCAGTCAAAACACCTCTCAAATGAAGAACATGACCGGAAAACAAACACTGATAGTTAACACCAGATTTTAACAACTGCTTGCTGTTATTGGGGCCCCGTCGTCTAAGATTGCACAGCAAATCCTCTTTCAATTCTTTACTGAAGTGTTCATCAGAGAAGCCTACAGAGCAGCAAATGCCACACATGGTTCTGTGAAATCAGGGTGACTGCGTCTTGACTTCGGTTGTCTCTGTGTTTTCTTCTAATGCTTGGTATTGTTTTCTTAGTTCATCTAATGTCTCTGTAGGAGGGAGTGAGAAACACATATTTAAGTAAAAGGAAAAGATGTTTCCCTATTAATTCATGGACAAAACAGGCCACTTCTCAAGATTCTATGAGTAAATGCACTGTACAATTGCCAGTAGTAATTCAGAATGCTTCAGTGACAAACAATGCTGATATTTGGTAATAGTTTCTTTTATAAGCACTGAGTGCTTATTTTGGTCCAAGCACTTGGCTAACCACTTTACATATACAACTTTTAAATCCCTAAAGACTTTACAGGCTCAAAGCAAACCCCCCTCCCCATGAAAAAAAAATCATATAATGATTTTACATACTTTGGTCAAGCTCATAAAAATACTTGCCTACCTTAATTAGTATCTATAGTAAATACATCTTGAACTTATATTTTTTTATTTCATATGTTTGTGATACATTTTGATCATATCCACCTACTACTCCACCCTCTGTATCTCCTTTTACTGGGGCACGCATGGGCAATCTACCAGGAGTCACCTAAGGAAACTGACTCTCCCTCCCCTGGCAGTCATCAACTGCCAACAGCTCCTTATTAGTTCAGCTCTCACTCTTCATCAGGGAAGTGTCTTCTGGCAGAGGATGACAGTTAATACAGAGAACCACAACTGTTGCAAGTGCAGAGATTAAGTGACTCTGGAGTGCTCAGTCCAAAACTGGACATCTATATCACACCTCTTACTCCTAAGACTTGGGGATCATAAAAAAAAAAAAGGGGGGGGGTGGGGGAGAAAAAGCCTAAGAACAAGAGATTGGGTAGGATTGCTACAAGACAGTGTCTTCAGACGTGATGGGGTTGTTATAAATATGAACTCCCAGCAGCTGCTGCTGTTCACCCAAGATCAAGCCAGTTAAAAACCCAGCCCCACTGCTAGCTGAGATCTTTGGAAGGCTAACTGGAAAGAAGTAACTGTAATACAAACGCTTAATCTCAAGTGCACAAACACACACACAGGCATGCACACACACACACTCATTTAGATACGATTTAATTGAGGCACCATTATGAGTCACCACAAAAAGCCTACAGAAGGTTTTCTATACCATTCCATACATAACACTGAAAAGAAAACCACTCACTTTTGCTTTTGGAAAACATTTCTGTTCCATCTGCAAGGAAAAATACGCTGCTGTTCTGTTGCTGCTTATATACTTTCTGCAAAAGAATTTACAACATCAGGACATGATTTGCATAGTGATGCTCAACAATCCTATTATCACTTATTTTTGAGCTTCAGTAATATTCAAAACAGCAATTTATCAAATATAAACAGATACAAAGCCACTCGATACTTGCCACCTAGAAAGGGCTGTTTGCATAGTATGTGCCATTATGTCATGTTACTGTCAGTGACAAAGGCTACCACAGCCACAGGGTTATAATTTACTCTTATAAAACAACATGGAGACCTTTTCTGATCAATGAAGGTTCTTTATATTACCACACGGGCACAATACTATAGTTCTTTGCTGCTGTCAAACTTCAGACATTTGATAGAATGCCAATTCATGATTATTACAGATTGCCACTGCAGTTAAATGCCCATGTGTTTTCACGACTGTTTGTTTATTCATCAGTTACTCTAAAAGAAGCTCCAGGTCAAGTCTCATACAGCGTTTATACATTCTGCCAATCTGGTCTCCAGAAGTTTTGTATTAATTTGCCTTAGTTCTAATATTTCATAAATGACAATATCAGAAATGTTGAAAATGTCAGTCATTTTAAAATGCTTGAAAGAGAACAAAATCATTTCTTCATTTAAGATATATTTTTTTAACAGTAAAACTACACATGAGACAGCAGTTTATTTATGAACATGTCATAAAAAAGGAATTAAATAGGTTAAGTTCTTGGAGCATTAAAGTTTGCTGTGGAAAAGGAAGTAATTGTTTCTTTTTTTGTTAAAAATGTAATAGGGAAAGAATCCTGTCAACTTTGAGATTTACTGATACATGCAGAAAAACATGAAAAACAAACTAGGATACTTTAGTTTTAAATTAGTATGTTAGAATTTTGTAATTTTAGCATAAATGATCTAATTCCTGATTTTAATATACTGTATACTATTCCGGATTCCAACAGTAACTTACCCGATTCTTCTTCAGGTTAGAAAGTTCATCCACAAGAATTTTTTGTTCTTTAATCTATTAAAATAAAGAAAAACCTAAAGTAGACGTTTTCAAAGTATGTTTGGTGAGGACATTCTGAATAATGGGACTGGGGGCTGTCACATACCACCTGTCTAAATGGACACTCTACAGGGCAACAACACCCAGCTGGACTCCGTGGAAAACAGCTGGAGAAGGAAAAGCTGACTTAGACTTGCCAGCTGCCAGTTACCACATGGCTTATACCTTAACCAAAGTGAGCCACTGTTCACCAAAATCAATACCCACCCTTTAATTAGTTTTATAAAGTTTTGTTGTACACTTTTTAAAAAAAGAAAATGAATGTGTTTCTCCCCTTCCCCAACAACAATTACTTTTCATGTATGTACTAGATGATAGCCAGACATTCAGATAAATAGTATTGGATGCCCTACCTGGGGAGATACAGCATCATTTTTCATCTTTGCATCATTCTGTTTGCATGGCAAAGACTGCATACTGCTGTTATCATTAAGCTAGGCTTGTTTGTGACCATCAAATGAATGCCTAACTAGGCAATAACTAATTTAAGTAACCACACACCATCACACACAGTAATAAGAAGCAAGGTCTTTTTTAAAACTCACACCCGCCCTAGTGAGTATGCATCCTTATGTCTCCACGATGGCAGAGGTGAGAGTTATAGTGATGAACTACAAAGCCACACGAGTTCATCTTCCTTGAGACTCAAGTCTGCTTGTATGGTGTTTTATGTTCATTTTAGGAAAGACAGGTAGACATCTCACTTTAGCTGACACCAAAGAAAACTGTGATACAGTGGGAATAAGGTCACTAACCCAAGATGTCACTTGGGACAGAAAAAAAAAATGTAGAATTTAAAACGTTTAATACTCTCCACTATACATGTTTAAAGACTGTCTGTAATTGGAAGTTAAGATTAATGGTATAGTTCAGCAAGGTGGTGCAACCCTGAAATCATGGCTGTCAGGCAAGAGAATAAGGTCATGCTCCCCTCTCAAACAACAGTGTTTGCGCCTGGCCTGAGAGACACGAAAGCTCAGGAAGGAAGAAAGGAAGGAAGAAAGGGAGGGAGGGAGAGAGGGAGGAAGGAAGGAAGGAAGGAAGGAAGAAAGGAAGGAAGGAAGGAAGAGAAAAGGGGAGGGAGGCAGACAAAGATTAACTTGCAAGAGTCCTACTTAGAGACCATCAGATAAATGTATTTTAGGATCACAGTGGAGGACACAGGCAGCTGGGGACACCCTGAGTCAGAACAGCCAGTGACAGCGTCTGGAAGGACACTGGCAGATTTCTAAACTTTCGGGATGGATGTCAAGGATGGCCCCCAGGCGGGTGCGTAGCTAACAGGGTGAAGCAGATCCACAGAGCAACAGATCCGCGTGAAGGGAAGGGGGACGGTAAGGGGACAGCCCCACCAAACCTCCGCCAGTGTCTCCCCCCCCCCCCCCTTTTTGGGGGACAAGCTTCTGTGCCTCCCTCTCTGCAAGTCTGCAGGAAGGAGGGGCAGCCTGAGGCGGGTGCCAAGAACCGACTACGGAAGCGAGGAGCACGCCGCCGGGCTGCCGGGCCGCCGCCGGGAACCCCAGACGGAAGGCGCTCCCCGGCCACCCACCGCACCTTGCTGTTAAGGGCCTCCGTGCGTGCATCCGACTTGTAGGGGGGCACCGGCGCGGCGCGATAGTCTGCTCGTACCCCACTTCGGGGCATCTCCACGCCGGGTCGCACGCCGGTGAGCCCACGGGGATGCACGCCGGTGAGCCGCCGGGACGGAACCGAGGACAGGAAGCCCTGATCCGGCGTGCGAGCTCTCAGTGGACCCGCCCCTTCCGGCATCCCGACCAATGGAGTCCGCACACTCACCCCTGCGCAGTAGAGGGCGGTTGGGGGAGTATGGGTGGGAGACTAGACATAGTTATGGGCATGCGCAAACTGGTTTGAACTAAAGGCACAATTGCCTGGTTGCGGAGTTTATGAAGGCTCTGTGTCGTCCCCTAGCACATCCGATGT